CATATCTCAAGCTAATCAATTAATTAAATTATTATATTCAATTGTTCAACAACAACAAACTTTTTTTATCAAATCGAACATAAAATAAATTTGTTTTTCTTTCTCAAACCTTCATCATGTTTTTTTCATCATAAGATTTTCTTAATCGAACTTTTAACTTTATCTTTTGCGTTTTTCCCCGTTCATGCATTGAAAATAAAAAGCCTTTCGACAATTGAAACTAATTCGAAACCTATTTCAATTTGTCAATGTCACCTTTTTGATCAGTGTAGCAGCGACTAGCTAGAAGTCAACTATGATTAGTTTACTTTCGGTAATAGACAGAGAACAGTACTTAGCTAAATGTTACGTTAGAATCTATGATAAGAGAACCGTCAGATTTGTTTTACTCATATTGATTTGTATAGGAAAGAGACAATCAACCTGATTAACAATCAGATTTGAACTATATTTTAATAATAATTGTGTGTTGAGAATTGATATTATCGATTGGAATTAGATGTAAATCAAATAAATAGTTTGCATTAAAATGAACAAGAGACTTACAAGACAAAAAAAATTCTATTAGAAATCGAGAGATAAATCCGATAGATGATTTTCGTGACGATTGATAATCAGAGATAAATAAATGAACTCGTTAAAAGATTTTTCAATTAATCAATTTTAGATTTTTATTATTTCAACTAATAAAAAATATTCTCAAATTTATATTTTAGACAGAGACAATTATCATCACTATCTTTTTTTTTTATTAACTTAAACAAATAAATATTTATTTATATTTATATCAGACATTGTTTTTGTTTTTTTAAGTATACTTTTTTTTGATAAAGAATAATAATTAAATTAAGAAAGGAATTTTTGTTTTTGGTTAAAGATGTTTTCTCGTTAAATGAGAATATATTGAATTAAATATCTGTATGATATTGACATTTATTTAAAATGATCGTTGAATGATATATAAGATTTAAAATTTTATCTAAAGACTTTTAAAAAAAGAACTAACTTAGATTTTGACATTTTTAAGATTATTTTTTGTTTTCTTTTATTATGAAACAAATCGTTGAATAAAATAAATATTTTCTCTCGATTAAAATAATATTCGATATATATATATATATGATTTTATTTTATCGAACATTTTTTAAAAATAATCCGTTAGATATATAAAAATGAATTTTATTTTAATTAAAATAAAGATAATAGAAATAATTAAATTGATTTTTTCATGAGAATAAAATGAAAATTAGAGTTATTTAGTTAATTAATATAATATATTATTTAAAAACGTGTCAGTTAGAGAAATAATGTTCGATTTGATAAAAAGAATAAAATAAAAATTGTTTATTAAAAATTTAGATGATCTTGTTGAACGTTTAAATGAATGTGAATATTCATTTAATAGTCAATATGATTTAATAGAAAATGTTAATAAAATAAATCGAAAAGAAAATCCATCTCGATCATGTAAATCACGTTTTGATTTATCATTAAAATTATTTTCTATTGGAAAAAAAAACAGATTAATTTCAAATGAATTTAGTTCACAACAAATTCAACAATCATTTCAATAAACGATTTTTCTTTTAAATGGATAAATAAATAAATGAATTGATCTATTTTAGTAAATTAATATTAAATAATTATTAGTATTATATGCTCATTCGGATAAATATCATGATTTTAATTGGATATTACATGTTTATTCATTAGATGAGTATTCCTTTTGATAAATCCTACAAATTTTTTTTAAAACTTGCACACAAATAAGTAAATCAAAATCATTTATTAAATATTTATCATCAATGACTTTTCAACAAAATCCTCATTATGGAATGATATTGAATTAAAAGGTATTTTATCATATAAAACAATATCATCAATTCAATCAAATATAAATAATTCCTTATCATTAATAAATAATTTAACTCCAATGTTTATTCAATCATCAAATAAAACAAATGTATCAAGAAAATTATTTCAATCGAATACAACAGATCAATTAACAAATAAGATTTATTATTTGATTTATTTAATACAATATTATACATATATATTTATCTTTTTTCACTAATTTCAAATAATTATAACAATGAATATGATTTATTTTAATTGAAAAAAAAATTGTTTCCAAATTTTCAGTAATGAAAATTTTTATTTTGAAAGAATTTTGTTCATAAATATTTAGTCCGATCTAGTAACAAGAAAAATTGGTCCCTTAGAATACTTTATTTTTCTTTTTTTCTATATTTATCATGAAAAGAAACAATGAGAGAACATTTGATAATATATATCATCGATTTAAAAAGAATTTATTTCTTTTTCATAATCGAGCTCGACGAAAATAAACTCATCTGAAATTCTATGAAATATGATAATTGTCGTCGATCTTTTCTAAAAGCTTGTCAAACAATGAAAATAATTCGATAAATAATAACCATTTTAAAGCCTGTCTACGGCGAACACTTGTTTTTCTTTCTAGAGCACACTTTTTATAGAGGATATTAGAGAAAAATGACGATAATTCCCTATAGTGTCAATCTTTATTTTTAGACGTAGAACCCCTTGGAATTTAATTTAAGAAAGAAAAAAGTTGCTTGAATTTGATTAAAATCGATTTGTTGAAAAATTTTTTGTTCTGAATGAAAATTTTCAATAAATAATATTATCTTCTGATATTGAATTCGTTTAATTGATTTTATCAATATTCAATGAATATTTTTTTTTCTCAAAAATTTTCAAAATCGAATTAACAAAAAAAAAAACGAAGGAAAATATCTTGTCAAAGATTTTTATTTTTATTCAAACAAAATATTATTATAGAATAAACCAAAGACATTTTATTTGTCTTAGTTAACTAATTAAAATAAATCTTTAT